CCTGGCCTTACCACTAGGAACAAGAAGCTACTAGGGGCTCCTGGCCTTGCCACTAGGAACAAGAACCTAGTAGGCCATACCACTCGGAACAAGAAGCTACTAGGGGCCCCTGGCCTTACCACTAGGAACAAGAAGCTACTACCGGTTCTCCTGGCCTTACCACAGGGAACAAGAAGCTACTAGGGGCTCCTGACCTTACCACTAGGAACAAGAAACTACTAGGGGCTCCTGGCCTTACCACTTGGAACAAGCAGCTACTAGGGGCTCCTGGCCTTGCCACTAGGAACAAGAAACTACTAGGGGCTCCTGGCCTTACCACTAGGAACTAGAAGCTACTAGGGGCTCCTGGCCTTACCACTAGGAACAAGAAGCTACTAGGGGCTCCTGGCCTCCACTAGGAACAAGAAACTACCAGGGGTTCCTGGCATCGCTACTACGAGCAAAGGACGCTACTAGGGCTCCTGGCCTTACTACTAGGAGCATGGACGCTACTAGGGGCTCCTGGATGGGCTTGCACGATGACATAGGGGGACGTGCTATGGTGGGCGTATGTCGGCGTTCGTGGTGCTAGGGCCTGGCAAGTGGATACTTGCATTTGCCAGAAGAGACCAAAGCCAAGTTCATCCAGACGCCCCAGGCTGGAAACGGGTTGTGGTTCGTGACTTCGCTAAATGTTTCGACTTGGCTCAGAGAGTGTTGGAGAACAATCTATCACATTTGCAAGTTGGAGAACAGTCTAATCAGTCCAAAGGCTGAAGGCAGGACATGGACAAGCACGCTTGTTGAGGCAATCCGAGATGTTTTCCCTCAGTGTGGCTCCAGATTGCACCCACTGCGCTATTTGCGATGTTGATGCATTTTCGTAAGAAAGAATCTAGTTTGCTAGTATTTCCCGTGCTTGTATTGCATAGTAGGGGTGTTTTGGTTTCAAGATGGTTCAAGGCAGATTTAGGAGGTGTGCCACAGAGCTGAGGCACATGACGCATTACGGTTGTTTTGCATACTATTCTTATCTATTCTTCAAGCGGTGGAAAAAACACACCTCGTCATCAGTTGTGAGAACATTGTTGAACACATTTATCGGTAAGTTTGCGCTATTAGTTTCACTTGCGGTCAGACCCAGTAGTATCACTTAACCGTAACCTATACTCTTTAACAACACTTTGGTTAACAACGGAAGAGGTGTTACTTTTTAATGAAGAGTCTCATGTAAAAAGGGTCAACAGAGAAAAACATATGCAAACTGTCCATTTGTGCAGAACCGAATGTGCAGAAACCGTCCAATTCGTCGGTTTCACCGAACACGTCGACACGTCGACGCCACCATGAACCGAAGTGAATAAGTCTAAGTTGAGAATTGAAAAATTGGAATTAAAAGTGCTGGTCCGCAAAGGATGACACGCACAAAACGAGAAGTGTACACTCGACAGCCGCTTTTATGCTCGAAAATAGGAGCGTTGAACCTTGCAGGTTATGAGCCCAAGGTGAAAGGTGTAAGACCCGTGGGCAAGGACGGGCAGCCCTGCGCACTTGCAAGCAATGTCCATGGTGGCTCGTCGGAGACGAAGGCAGCCTGGCGATGGGGATGAAGAAGAGGACCCAGCCGATCAGGGAGGCCTTCAACTACAAGAGCAGCCGCTAGAGGAGGGTCAGCTGGCCTTGGAGGATGGCGAAGAGCAAGGGGAAGAGACCCTTGAAGGTCCGAAAGGACCGCCTACAACCTTGACACCGTTGACCCCACTCTTCACGCCGGAACAGCTGAAGGGACTTCATGAAGTGCAGAGCCAAGCTCCTCACCTATATGCTCAAGTCCCGAGGCAGAGCATCTGGCAGCCTGGTATGGGGAACAGGTCGCCAGAGGAGGTGCAAAAGGAGAGACCCACGTTCCTGCCGAAAGAAGAAGGTTCAGTGGGAGTGCTTCCACAGACGAGCACGACGACGGGGACACCATCACCGGCACTGGTGGGCGACCATGTACCAGATGACCAGCGACGTGGACGACCAAGAGAACCACGGGTACCTGAAGTACACGAGCCTGAAAGTGACAGCGATGGGCGACAACCTCCCCAACCTAGAGAGCAATCGGTGGTTCAGATCCAAGGGAACGGGCCTGGAGGAAGAGGTCTGCATGTTCCGAGAGGCTTTGGACAAACTGGCCCACCTGGGTACATCATGCCCCATGAAGAGAGGAGGGGACCTATGCCGCATCAAGGAGGATGGCAAGTTCAGCTGCATCCCTATGGCCCTGGTCCGCCAAATCCACAGGAGATGATGACCATGTTGGCAATGCTGAAGCAGGAGAATCAACAACTGCAGATTCAGCAAGCAGAGCTCATGGACGCCATGAAGTACCAGAGGGCTAGCCTGGAAGCCAAGGTCCATGATCTACAACGTGAGCTGGAGCAGCAGGCTTTCAGAACGCCAGAAAGCGATGAGCCTGTGAATCGTCAGCTGGAATTGACGGTCGACGAGCCTCCGAGAGAGACAGATTTGGAGGTGGAAAGACGCCGGCTGTATGAGTTGACTCCCATGCAACAGTTCGAGCAGCTCCAATCCTTGATGGGGACGGTCACTCCGGCGCCAGCAAAGCGAGGTGGTCGGGGGCAAGGACAACGAGAGAGGTCGAGATCTCAAGGTCCGAGAACTGCACGGCAGGGAGGAGGTCAACCTGAGGGCTTGGTGGCATCTCGGGCGAAGGGCTTCGAACCGGAAGGGAGACAAGGGACCGGGAAAGGTGTGGGTCAGCCAAAGAAGAAAGCCACAGCCGAGCAGCCTGGTCGATCTTCAACGGCAAATGTTCGGGAGGAACCATCAAGAGAGCACGGTGGTGGCATGGCTGATGCGATGTCTATGCTGATCACCTACCTGGTCGACAAGGACAAGAAGCAAGAAGGACCGGAGTCGGTCAAGCCGGGGACGGCCACACTCCCAGTCCTGGCAGAGCCATCCGATACGGCTCCCATCGACCTTGCTGACTGGCTCACTATGGTGGAACCGGCTATGACAGACCTTAGCGACTCGTCAGGCGAGTGGTGGGAGTTGGTGGTGAGCGAAGCAAGGGCTTGGTACAAACAGTACATCAAGCTTCGTCCAATTCAGCGGGCATCATCCAAGATCGAGCCGTCTGCTGAGTTGCAAAAGCCGAAGTGGGCTCGAGTGGAAAAGAGGGCCATCAGCATGCTGCTTTCTTCAGTTCCCACATCAGTGAAGGAGGAACTGGTAGCAACGAGGACTTTGTCACCGCTGGGGCTGGTGAGCAAACTCATGGTCCTCTATCAACCAGGTGGTGCTCATGAGCGCACCATCATCCTGCGGCAACTTGAAGATCCGCCAGAAGCAGGGTCGCCAAGCGAAGCCTGCATGGGGCTCCGACGCTGGATGCGCTGGCTCAGGAGGGCCACCGACATTGGCTTGAATCTCCCTGATGCGATCATCCTCATGAAGGGCATCAACAAACTCAGCAAGCGGATCCTCACTCAACAACCGGATCTGCAATTCAGATGTGCCTTGGTCAAGAACACCTTGCAGCTTGATACCATCCCCAATGAGGAGACTGTTCGGACGTATGCTGAGCATTTACTCGCTGAACTTGAACAACTCATGCACCGAGTCCGACCGTCTTCGAGCACTACGAGACCTGGAAATCAGGGAGGTGGACCATTGGCAGTAAAGGCACTACAAGGGGAAGATCGAGAGAAGAAGGGGGACTCGCCAACGACATCGGCGAAGGGTCCTTGTCGATATTTCCTCACCGAGTCTGGATGTCGAAGAGGGCAGTCGTGCAAATGGGCGCATCAACTGGAGACTGGCGACAAGCAGAACCAGGAGAGAAGGTGCTTTACGTGCGGGGCCACACAACACCTGGCTCGAGACTGTCCGAGGAAAGAGACGGCAAAGAAGGGAGAAGGACCTCCATCTGGCCAGAAACCGAAGCTTCAGAAGCTGCTGGACAAAACTGGCGGTGGTGGAAATGGGACCTCACGGAGCGAGTCGGGGGCTTCAATTTCTCCTCAAGCAGCGTCCTCACAGTCGGTGACTTCGGAGGCGGCATCGGATGCAGCGACAAGAACTGCAGACCCAATCAAGAATGTGCTTGATGAGGCGCACAAGTTGCTCAAGGGCATGAACCTCGAAGAAGAAGGGCAAGATCGTGCAACGGACCTTGGTGCGACGTTGAAGAAGCTGAATCGAGCATGGGAGAAAGGTGGCCCAGAGCTACGGGCAGTCAAGATAGCTCGAGTCCAACAAGGTCGAGAGGGACTTCTGGATTCTGGGGCAACGCACGCTCTGAGGCCCAAGCTCCGAGGAGAAGACCTTCAGAGATATCGCCAGGTGAGGGTGACGTTGGCTGCCGGAGGAGCGCAAGACATCCGAATGACAGAAGGGGAGACGCTGGTCCACAACAGTGAGAACGTGGAGCCGATCGTCCCGGCCGGAAGGCTTGTTCGCGACTTGGGGTGTCGAATCGAGTGGATGGGGGAAGCTTGCACTTTGGAGCACCCAGTCAAGGGCAACATTGACCTCAGAGTTGAAGCGGGATGTCCTCAAATGGACCATGATGTTGCGTTGGACCTCATCAGGGAGCTGGAGGAATCTCGGTCGAGAACGGCGTTGAGGTGCTACCGATTTGGGGAGGCTCACAATGACGTCGACTGGCTGGACCGGGTGGTGGCAGATTGTCCGATCTTCGACAAGGTCCCGATCCGAATCAAGGATCGCCTGGTGGACTCTCCAGCGAGGAATCTTGAGGTCCTTGGAGTCAATCGACGCATCCGCAAGCGCTGGAAAAATGAGGGTGTGGTGGTTCATCTCTACGCTGGGAAGAATGAGGGCTACGATCTCACAAGGGCTCTCAAGGAGGCTGGCGGAGACACTACGAGATTGTTGGAGGTGGATATCCTTCGAAACCAAAGTCATGACATGTCAAAGGACGATGCAATGTACGCAGCACTGCTAAGGATGGCGATGTTGGGCTGGATTGATGCGGTGATCGGTGGACCCAACTGCAGGACCCGCAGTGAACTACGACATCATCCGGTCACGGGACTACCAGGGCCATCGAGATCGTTGGGAAGACCCTGGGGCTTGGACGAGTTGGATGAAGTGGAGAGGGCAAAGTGCCATTTGGACGATGTGCTGCTGTTGCGTATGGTGACGCTCTACGTGGTGGCAAAGCTGGGTCGAGATGCACGATTGTCCCAGGAGAAGAATTCCGCGTTGCTGCCAACGGTCAGGTTCTTGATGGAGCAGCCTGCAGCGCCTCAGCACATGCCGGAAGTGGCATCCTTCTGGAGAACCGAAGAGTGGAGGGTAATGAAAGAGCATCTCAACCTGGACATGGTGACCTTCAACCAGGGTGCCTATGGTGGTATGGCGGTGAAACCTACCTCACTGGCATTGAACATGGAGTTCATGGTTCCCGAGGATCGGGGCCCGCCCAAGGCCTTCTTGAAGACCAAGCATGAGGTGTCGAGCTCCGAGCTGGCGAGATGGGCCCCCGGAATGATGCGAGAGATTGCAAGAAGCATCACTGTCAACATCCAGAAGAGGCGGGTGACGATGAAGGCCTTGTCTTGGCAGGAGCACCTGGCACAGGGACACGTGCCGTTCCGCAGAGACTGCGCTGTCTGTCAGAGAGCAGCGGCAAGGGATCGACCACATCGAGCTCAAGGGATAGCGGCTCCGTGTGTGCTGTCGCTGGATCTGACTGGACCATTTGTGCTCGGCCATGACATTGACGGCGACCTCAAGAAGTACCTCCTGGTTGGAGCATACACGTGGCCGGTCATGGAGGAGGCACCATGGGACGAGGTTGAACAGCTGGAGGTGATCCCAGACAAGGACTGGCCTACACTCGAGGAAGAGGAGGCTCTTCGGGAAGTGGAGTATGACCTGGCTCAGGACCTGGAAGCTCATGGTGAGGAGATGTCCTATCGACCTACGTCAGATGAGGGCGAAGATCTGGAGATGGGTGAGCCGGAGGAGGATGAACGGCAGGGCGAAGGTGACGGTGATCAGTTAGAGCCGCCGCCTGATCCAGGACCCAGTCAACCAGAACCACCATCGGTACCACCTCCAAAGACTCCAGAGGAAGTTGAAGAGCACCAGAAGGTCTACAAGATGACCACAATGTCCATTTGCCTACCACTGACCTCGAAAAGCGCAGCAGAAGTCCTTGCTGGAACACAGGAACTATTTGGAATGCTGAGACGCCACGGCTACCCTGTGGCTAGAATCCATACCGATGCAGGCCGGGAGTTCGACAACAACCCGTTCAAGAGGTGGTGCTTGGAGAGGGGGCTGGCTAGAACCTTCAGTCCTCCGGATGAACACCAATCAAACGGTCGTGCTGAGGCCATGATTGCGTCGATCAAGCAAAGGGTCCGTCGACTTCTACATGCTTCGGGCATGCCCACGAAGTGGTGGCCGGCAGCGGCGAGACATGTCACGGAGCTGGAAAGAAGGAGAAGGGAGAACATCAAGGAGACGCTTCCACGCTTTGGGCAGCTCATCACGGTGAGAAAGCGAGCTTGGGAGCGAGGAGGACCTTTTGAAGCGACATCCGAGATGGTGACCTACCTGACACCTACACCGCAAGTGTCCAAAGGGCACGCGGTCCTCACGGACAAGGAGAAGGTCAAGGTAGTGAGCTACTTGATAAAGGATGTCAAAGAGCCTAAGCCTGACGAACGAGACTTGGTCATGGAGGAGGTCCATATCCAAGACGACCCTGTACGGCTTCGCTGGAGGTTGAGAGAGAAGACACCACTGGCATGCATACGGGGAGAAGAAGACCTACAGAGGGAGGAGGATCGTCGAATGCTCTTTCAGGCCGTCTATGAGGAGGAGGGTCACTTGTTGGGAGCTGCTCCAAGAGAAGTTCCTCCGTTGAGCCGAGGTCTGGTTGCTCTACGACAAGAACAGGTGGCATCAACCCAACGACTCTTGGAAGACGAGATTCTCCAAACCCGGATCGTGCCCAACGATGAGGTGTACAAAGACCGGGAGCTGTGGCTGGAGGCCATTATGAAGGAGATCCAGTCCTTGGAGGGCAAGAAGGCGATTCGGCGACTGACTCCCGCAGAAGTGGCCTACTACCAGAGAGAGCATGGAGACAAGGTGGAGGTGGTTCCAGGGAAGGCCATCCATGCGGTGAAGGCCCCTGACGGACGAAGGAAATGCCGCCTGGTGGTGTGCGGGAACTACCTGAAGGGAGCTGGAAGAGGTCCTGGAGATCGTTCGGAGGCAGCTCAGCTCTATGCAGGTGGGGCGGATACTACATGCTTGAGGACCTCATTGGCACTGGCCGCTTCGCGAGGCTGGCAGGCGGCTAGCCTGGACATTAAGACTGCTTTCTTGAACGCACCTCTACGAACACTTCAGGAGAGCAGCCGGAAAAAGAACCTTGCCTTGGAAGACGCCCATGGTCGACCCCAAGAGGATCATGAAGAAGCTGGAGGAGGTCGCGATGGTCAAGAAGAGATGGCCATGGAAGAGCAGCAGGAGAAGGACCTCACGAAGAGGAAACGACTGGTGCTCATGCTTCCTCCGAAGATCCTCATTCGGCTGGGATTAGTGAAGGAGGGGGAAATGTGGTTGGTGGAGAAGGCCCTGTATGGCTTGCGTGAGTCTCCGAAGCTCTGGGGGGACTACAGGGACATCGAGATCAGCCAGATGTCCTTTCAGGTGAACTCCATCACCTATGAGTACCAGCAGAGTTTCGCGGAGGAGAACTTGTGGCTGGTGCGCAGGAAGGATGCCGGAGATGGAGATCAGGTTGAGGGACTCGCCTTGGTGTACGTGGATGATGTGATGCTCTTCGGCACCGAAGAGATTGTGAGGGCAGGGCTCCAGAGCTTTCGAAGGACCTGGGAGACGTCCGAACCTACGTGGGTGGGAGATCGTGAACCAGTTCGGTACTGTGGAATGGAGTTGAGTCGAACTGAACAAGGAGACTTCTTTGCCAATCAATGTTCCTACTTGAGGGAAGTGGTTCGGCGACATGGCATGGAGGACCTTTGCAGCGCTCAGATGATGAAGGAATCCCAGGAACCCGAGGATGAGCTGGATCGCACGCCCTTGCAGGTCCGAGAGGCACAACAACTCGGAGGAGAACTTTTGTGGCTGGCAACGAAGACGAGGCCGGACATTGCCTACACGGTCAGCCGAATCTGCTCAGCGACGAGCCGGGCCCCAAAATGGGCGATCCAAACCGCATACCAGCTGATCAGGCACTTGAATGCCACGCAGGGCCTGGGCTTGTGGTACAGGAGAGACGCCAACTTCATCTTGGAGTCAGTGAGTGATGCCTCTTTCGCTCCAGGAGGTGCTCATAGCCATGGCTGCGTGATCACAACGGTGGCCGGAGCACCGGTGGCATGGAAGAGCTGCAAGCAGCCGTTCCCCGCCCTCTCAACCGCGGAGGCAGAGCTCATAGAGGTCATCGAAGCTGTGGTCGTGGGAGACAGCATCGCATGTCTGGTTGATGAGATGGCGAAGGACGTCCCGAAGTTCCTCAAGTGCGACAACACAGCTGCAGTTTCAATAGCAAGTTGTGCAACTGGAGCGTGGCGTACAAGACACTTGAAGGTCCGGGCCGCCCACCTCAAATGGAGGATCCAGTCTGGTCAATGGGAGCTGAAGTACCAGCCTGGAAGAGAGCTCATCGCGGACATCGGCACCAAGTCGTTGCCAGTGGCCCGGGTCAACGAGCTGAGGCAACGGATGGGAATGTCATGGCAGCCCGACTCAGTGGACGAAGTGCATGAGGAGGACAAGGGCATTGTCGCACCGAGGGCTATGAAGTTGGTTGCGAAGTACCACTTGGAGAAGGCCATGAGGCTTGTTGTGGTGCTGTCGGCATTGAAAGAGGTGCATGGAGCTATGGCGGAGAATGTCACCAAGAATGCCGATGAGAATGTCGAGGGTGACCAGATCTTGTACCTTCTCAGCGTCATGATGATGTTGCTGGGAATGGTGCTCATGAAGGTCATTCAAAAATGCCGCTTGCATTGGAACCGGGTGGAGGACGATCCGGCGACGCGTAGAGTGAGGGTCTCTCGCTTGGCTGGTCAATCTTCTTCCGGGACAAGGGCTTCTACCAGACCTCAAGGAGGAAGAGATCAAGAACCACGTCAACGTGATGGGGAATGGCAGCAAATGAACCATGAAGGGCAGAGTGCTTCATCCTCATCACCAAGGGGTACCAGGATGGGTGGAGGCATCCAAGTTGGACATCAAGGGAGACCGGATCCCGCACAGAATGAGCCACAGGAGGAGCCGCCGAATCAAGCTGACCTACCTGGAGGGCATCATTTGGAGATCACCCTGACTGGGAGGAGGAGGCGATTCCCCAATGAGCCAACGTGGAAGATCTGGTTCGCGGAGTCCAGCAAGTGCTTCCATAGACAGCGGAGCTGCAGGGGATTGAGCAAGGCCAACCGAGTTCATGAACAACCGGTGTGTGGAGCCTGTCAAAGGGCCACCAGAGGCCAGAGAAGTCTTCGAGAGACGAACTTCGTCTATGAGGACCAGCTCGGCAACTTCCACACCGATGCTCGGTGCAATGCGGTCACGGGACCGATGACTGAAATCCGCCAATGTAAAGTGTGTGGCGGTTGAAGCGGTTTGAGCCTACGGCTCGATTTTCGAATGCTGGTCAGATGCTAAACGCACGACCAGGGAGGAGTGCTGGTCCGCAAAGGATGACACGCACAAAACGAGAAGTGTACACTCGACAGCCGCTTTTATGCTCGAAAATAGGAGCGTTGAACCTTGCAAAAAGGATTTGATACGCAAATAAATTGAAAACTACAATACAGTCGTTTTTTGTATCCGCTTGTGTAGATCATTTGTAATATTTCTTTTTTGCGAGGTATCTTACGGGTGACGTTGGTCGCTATTGCCAGGCTGGATGGGCAGCAGTTTGGTTGCCCTACAAAGCGCTTTCACTTTCAGCTAATTTGCTCGAAGTCACTTGCAACCAGGTTATTGCCCCATGCTACGAATTTCACTAAAAAGTGGCAACTCAGCCTTAGGTTGGTTGGAGGCCATCGCTCTTAGGTTGGAGGCCATCACTAGTAGGTTGGAGGCCATGACCCTCCTGTTAACCTCACTCGTTAAAAGCATTCTTTCATCGTTTTTCAGGATGACCTCCTGGAGTTTGTCGGGCGGCTTGACAACCAGGCAGCGGGTGACGGGGGGGTTCAAGAAAGTATGAGATTATCCGACTCTGACCACAATTGGCCTCCAACCTAGTAGCGTCCTTGCTCCTAGTAGCGATGCCCTTTGCTCCTAGTAGTAAGGCCAGGAGCCCCTAGTAGTGTCCTTGCTCCTAATAGCAATGGGCCTCCAAGCTAACTAGCGATGGCCTCCATCTGACTAACGATGGCCTCCCACCTAATAGCACTCGGAAATGAGCATGCAGCATGCAACACCTTATTGGAGCAACCAGGAAATCTGCTCAACCATGTTGCGCTGCGTGGACCTGTGAGGGGTTCTCACTCCTTGGAAGGTAATTACAAGTGCATCGCTAGTAGTAACAAGTGCTTTTTTGTTACAAAAAAGCTATTAGTAAAAAAGCTAGTAATTACAATTCTAATTAAATTCTTATTGTTACTACTAGTAAGGCACTTGTTACTAGTCGCGAGGCACTTCTCACTCCTTTGAAGGGTGCTTTGGCTTGTAGGGTTTATCCGGTCTCTAGCTGTTCGCCTTCGGGTGTGGCTTCGGTTGTAGCGGGTTGCTTCATTTGCGGTATTTGCGGGCTGCCTTTCGGTGTGACTTGGTTGCTTGGTTTTGTTAACGTTCAACCCTGCTTCGCCCAACGTGTGTCGATGCTTCTTCAGCATGCCCTGTCTGTGTTTGGCGCCCTTCAACGCTGCATCTTCTATAGCTTCTGGCTTCCTCCTCCTTTGACCCTGCCTCTCTTCTATCTCTTCCCTCGCCATCCTTTTTTCTTCAGCACTGCTTGGGACATTGGCTGACGGCAGCGGTGCTGCCACTGCTGTCGCTTTTGATCTCTTTTTCACCTTCAACTTCTTGCTCACCTCAATCCCGAAGAAAGAGGAATCTTCTCCTGGAGTGATTCGTGCCAATGTGCGTGGACTTGTCTAAACTTACTAAAAGACAAATAAATCACAATCTTCCACCTTTTCCTCCTGTGACATGCGTGCCGCTGCTACCAACGTCCAAAGAGGAGGAACGATATGAAGAGCCGAATGCAACAGAGGCCCAGAGTCGACTATATGAGGGCTTCGGTGGACTCTGGAGAAGGTCTGGTCATGATTTCGCATTGTCAGAATATGACAGGTACAGGCTTTGCATGGCTCTTCTCGACCAACAAGAAACATGTCAAGGAAGGATAAATATAAAGGACAGTTAAAGGACACCTCAAAGAACCTAATAGCGATGGCCTCCAACCTAAGAGCGATGGCCTCCAAGGCAAAGACACCTGAAGTCGGGAAATGGAAAGAAGAACACCGGGAGAAAGGTACATGGGAGAAAAGAAGCGGCAGAAATCAGCACCCGCAGCAGCACGGGCCAATGAATGAAACCCGTTTGTTCAAATTTGGTCGGCAATTGAGCTGAGTAAGCCCAGGTCACTGGAAAGGAGTTTTCACAACATCTCAATGCATGTGCTGAAGCATCATGTTAGAAGCAGTTTGACGGCTGAGCTGTTCGGAACAGAGCTAAAGATATCGAAGATCGTATCGAAGTGTTTCATGAAAAAGGCGTTCCTGGCATGAAAAAAAAAATCGTTCTGTTTTCCTCAGTTCCTCGGTCAGGTGAAGCTGCGAGGGCAACGAGTGGAACTCGGTGAGGTGGAGGAAACCTTGCTGTCCGCGCCGGCAGTGACCGAGGAGCGACGAGCGAGGACAGACTCGGAGCAAGGAAGCTACAACTAGCAAACATTGTTACTACTAGTAAG